GATGCTAATGATGATATTGCTGCTGATGCTGTTGCTGCTGATGATGGCATTGATGGTGCTGATGATGATGTTGAGGATGGTGCTGCTGCCGATTATGATGATGATGATGATGATGATGCTGATGCTGATGCTGATGATGATGATGATGATGATGATGATGATGCTGATGATGGTGATGATGATGACGATGATGGTGATGATGATGATGATGATGCTGATGATGATGATGGTGATGCTACGGGTACTCATAATGGTATTGACAATGACGTTCGTGGTTGTGGTTATGTGGATTATGCTGCTGATGATGCTGCTGCGGATGGTGATGATGGAGTTGAGGATGCTGTTGCTGCTGACGATGTTGTTGACATGGTTGACGATTCTGACTAGTATGTTGATGATGGTGCTGCTGCTGCTGCTGATGATGATGATGATGATGATGATGATGTTGATGACGACTGCGATGCCCATGATGATGCTGATGCTGATGCTGATGATGCTGATGATGCTGATGATGCTGATGATGCTGATGATGATGGTGCTCGTGATGATGAGGAGGAGGAGGGCCAGTTTAGTAAACCCAAGGCTCATCAACGATGTTGCCATAGACCCTTCCTCCAAGTTCCATCCTCATAGGCCTTATACCAGGAATCGTTTTCACTGAGGGAAGCGCCCCGTTGGAAGACAATCCTTTGAACATCCTGAACCGTGCCAGAACTCCGTTCCTGGGACTTCAACGCGCGAATCTGTGTTAGTGTTGCGTCCTGATGATCTTGAATCGTATCATCCGCGAATCAAAGTCACGTCTGCACCCTCACAATCCTACATGGTTCCACAACGCTGTTCCTGGGACGCTAACCATGCGAATCTTTGAAACAGCTGTACGCTCTTAAGACTAATGTGCGCAGCGCTAAGGCGAGAGGCAAATTGTGAAAAGGAGCCGCCCTCCATCCGTGAAACTCGTGCACATTCTTGAAGCAAATGTGCGCGGCGCTAATGCGAGAGTCGCACTTTGAAAGTTGTTCACCCTTCATCCGTGAAACACTTGCATGTTTAACATGAGTGCGCGCGGCGCTAAGGCGAGAGCCACTTTTTGAAAACGACCCGCGCTCCATCCGTGAAACTGGTTGCACTTTTCAAAGACGAATGTACGCGGCGCTATGAAGGCAGCCACATGTTGAAAGCAACCCGCCCTCCACTAATGAAACTGTTGCATTCTAAGCTTCAGAATCATACTCGCTGAGGGAGTCTCAGGCGAAACGCCCAGACCGCCCTACCGACGGGCCTCGGGGTGCGACAAGGAGGAGTTATATATAAGGAAGAGTGTTGGAGGAGGAGGAGGAGGTGGAGGAGGATGTTGAGGAGCATGAGGAGGAGTATGAGGAGGAGAAGGGGGGGAAGGAAGAGGGAGGGACGGGGGCGAAGACGAGGGAGGAGGAGGAGGAGGAGGAGGAGGAAGAGCAGGTTGGCGGAGGAGGGGGCGGGGGATTGGTCGGGATGAGAGGGGGGGTCGGGGGGAGGCGGGCAGGAAGTTTTGGATTCTGGACATCTCCCTGGACATCCCCAGAGGTCAAGGCAAAGAGGGCATGGACGATGCGGTTTCTCTGCCGAGGCCCGCCCCTGCCACCCCCGCCCTTCCGTCGGGCCAGCCTGACCTCCGAGATCCCCGGCGCATCCGGGCCCTGGCTCCGTCTTGGGCCTGGCCCCGAGCGGCCAGAGCCGCGCCCTGCGCGCCCCCGCCCGCCCCGCTGCGGGGCGGGGGCCGGCGGATCAAGTCCGCCGGTTTCATGCACTCGTTCCGCTTCTGAGACCCCCCCGCGGCGGCCGCCCACCCCGTTCCACGCATGAATGCCAGGCGGCCGCCGCCCGCGGCGCCCGCGGGGGCGCCGCGGCGCTCACGCGCCTCCGGGAGTAGTCTCACAGGCCCCGGCGGTAGGCGCGGCGCGTCCGCCCCGCGCGGCGCGGCCGGAGGTTTGAAGCGCGCCCTCGCCGCCGCCCCCGCCGCCGCCCGCCAGCCCGCCGCCGTCGAGGGCCGAGGTGGCCCGGCCCCGGGCGGAGGTTTCTGGAGGAGGAGGCGGAGGGGGAGGAGGAGGAGGCGGAGGAGGAGGAGGAGGAGGAGGAGGAGGAGGAGGAGGAGGAGGAGGAGGAGGAGGAGGAGCAGGAGGGGGGCAGGATGAGGTGGAGGGTTGGAGAGGCGGAGGGTTGGAGAAGAGGAGTAGGAGTAGGAGTAGGAGTAGGAGTAGGAGTAGGAGTAGGAGTAGGAGTAGGAGGAGGAGGAGGAGGAGGAGGAGGAGGAGGAGGAGGAGGAGGAGGAGGAGGAGCTTCAGCATAAGCAGCAGGAGTGGGAGGAGCAGGAGGACCAGGGGACGGCGGAGGAGTCTTGAGAGGAGGGGGCGACGGCGACGAGAGCGGCAACGGATCATGTGGCCTTCGTTGGAGCGAGAGCACCAGTCTGAACGACAGGGGGCACAGCGACGATCCCGAAATGGGGCCAACGCTGCAG